GAGAGAGAGAGAGAGAATGAGTGATATTTTGACAATTGCAAATATCATTGTTTGTAAAAAGCAATTATTCGCACTTAATTTCAAAACTTATATTTAACAATGTTCATTGTAGCGTACTTTATTAAGCAACAGTCATCAAGGAGAATGCTTAATAGAAACCTTTGGCTTAAAATTTATGCTTTAAGGTTCACGTTCGCAAGTAGTGATTAATTTAACGTTGCCAAAAACAAGTCTAATATAAAATAAGGCAGTTCATTTGTGTTATTGAAAATATTTTTTGTTTGATATTTTATGTTTGGTTGAAGTAGATAACTGTGAAAACATCTGATTTGCAAATGAGCTTTTGATAAAATTGTGAACTGTTTTATAATTATAATACGACGACGATCTACTTTATAGAAAAAGAGAGAATTTCGAGATTTTGCAAGTAATTAAAGCATGAAAATTTCCTACATTACTTTCTATAATGATTTGATAATTTCCTTGATCTTTTTATTTATGTTTCTTTTTTTTCAAACCTTTTGACATACATTTGTCTTTTCAAAGAAATTTGAAAATCGTTCGATATTCTTGCACTATATACAAAGAAATATCTTGAAATTATCTTCAATTTTGCGTATAACTGTTTATTGGTTTACTGGTACACGTTTTGCTTATTACTTACGTTAACGTATCAAGATATATTACTTATTATTATTATATTACTAATAATATCTCAAGCATCTTATTATTAATATATTATAGCATCTTATATTTACTATATAACATATTATTATTATTATTATATTACTAATAATATCTCTTATTATTATATTACTAGTAATATATCAAGATATATTACTTATTATTGACAAAATATGAAAATAATCATTAACATACCTTGCGTTTAGATTTCATCGATTCTTTTTGATAGTGCGTGAGTTCGCCAATAGATTTCGAGCCCCATAACTTTCGTCCCATGCATGTATAACAGATAGCCATCACTGACATGGGAATTAGATACGTTACAATGAGGAAGAGGAGATTGTAGCTGCAGAATAAATGATTTATGTAAAACCATAAAAGATGTTGAGATATATATTAAGACTTATTATTAAGTTTTATTAAACCCGTAACTCGTTTCATAAGATGTGGTTAGACAATTACTGAAGAAACAAGGCAAATCTATCTTTATTAATTGAAATATTTAACTTTACAGTGCAATATAATTAAGTAAAATAATTGTCATAAATGGTAAATTGACAATATTTTATTTCTAATTAACATTGAACATTTTAAAACATGTTATGAAAGATTTTATCTTTATATAGAGAATTTGAATTATGTGATTAATCAAACGATATAATAGAAAACTTGGATGATCAAAGTTGTTCAGTCATTTTTAATAAACGAGTTACCTGTTATTCAGAATGCAATCATTTTGCATTGACGTTTATGTTCTTCATGAATTTTAAGAAATAAAATTTTCTCTAAGGAGAAAGAAGTTTTATTAAGAAAGTTATAGCATAATGTTTGATATGTTTGACGTAATAAGTTTGAATCGAATATTACACTAATTATTAGTTTCGTCATTCTTTGCTTGCAATATTTTAAAACTGTTTGCTACGGTTAATACAATTTCGATTTACTTTGTCCTTCCAAAGACTTTTGATTTGAGTTTCAATCTCAAATCTCAAAAGTAGAACGTGGAAATCACAATCGCTAGACAACTTAAATTGCATATAAGAGGAACATTCTGTGAGATTACTCGGGACTTGATACTACGATATACGATACAAAACTTGATTTCCATTTTCGCGTATACAGAACTATACGTTATTTCCAGCCGAGTTTGAGTGTTTTAAATTGTCCTAGCGCGCTATCAGATCCAACAATATTGTTACATCTATTGTTAAATAAGTTTAACTTGGAGCTGTTTCGTAGATATGTAGGAACAGAGATATTCTCTGTATATAAACTTCAGTTGCGCGATGTTCTCTATAAGAGAAGAGAATGTATCGTACTAATGACTGTAAGTTTCTGACTCTTTGACAAATGAAAACCTTGAATATATATATATATATATATATATAAAGTTCTGCCTAAGATATATATATTTTTCGACTAATGAATGATGCAACTATAATTTATAGATATCTTCCTTTAGTCAGAAATTAATATCTCTTTCTTAAAATATTTATTATTAAGTTTTGTAATAAATAACTTTGCAAACTTATCAACGATATGCTAAATAAAGTAAAATTGGATATAAAAAAATTTATATTTATATGATTTCATTTTAGTTGAATATTTTTTTGGGCAGATTTTAAGAAATGTTTCATATTTTCTATAAAACATTTTTTTGTGACATTTAAAGTTTTTCTTATAAAAGAGAAAAATCTTGAATCTTTTGTTGTTCTCTAAATTAATTTTCTCTTATTTACTGTCCGTACAGAAAAGTTAGAATGTATTTAATATTGACTTTTTACATTTTATAACTGTTTCGTATTTTCTATTTCTGTGAGGCAATAACACATACTATAAATTAACTTCGCTAAATTTTGAAAACAACTCCTGTTTATTTGAAAGAGCCTACATTTCATCATGTATTGTATTATATATTTTTTATTATGTATTGTATAAAATGTATTGTATAAAATGTATTGAATAAAATTTTCTTGTATTATGCTTTTTCTTCCAACTGTTACATTCGAAACTCATATTGGAAACTCAATTGAAAGTTGATTTTATTTTAAATATTTAGTCGAACTTTTACCTTTATTAACTTTTTGGTTTATCAACATTACACAGTTCGTAAATCATAAAATATCATTGTATTAAAGTCTATTGAAAGAAAATAACCACAAAATAACTGTTTAAATTTTTATGGGACGCATGTTTTGCATGCATTATTTATTATTTACGAATTAATGCATATGCATTAATAATTTTTTTAATAATTAATTTTAATTTTGTTTCATATAACATTATACTAAGTTATAATAATAGAATCATTATTTAGCTTTTTAGATTATTTAGACTTAATTGCCAATAAATCCCAATTGAGAGGAACTACAATTCCCATTACGATCGATCGAGTACAACCGTACCAATTAGATTAAATTACTCTTATTATCCCCGATGATATGTTGATAGCAAGTATATAGTAATTTCTAATCCTCTCCTTAGAGTAATCACCGAGTCAATCTTTTTCGCATTTGTAATGGACCGCGATCACGAATTGTTATTTACAAGAATTTCTTTCCGCACGCAATCTCACGTTTTTTTCTAAAAAGCATACAATTCTCTTTTTACATGCAAGTTTATATATTTCTGAAGTTCATTACACTAAAACCTATTAGATTTTGCATATAGGAAATTCAGTAGGATGAAGCTTACTACGTACCAATATTCCGTTTTGCTATGTAAATAAGCACCGTCAGGCCACAGTAAGTAACAGGAGATTCTGGTTGTTCCATTAGAATACCTGTAATTGATTACACGTCAATGTTTTCGAGGAAATTGAAATGGATACGTAATGTTTAAGGAAGATTAATACTCGTTCAACATATCTATTTAATATAGAAATGTATATGCTTCTGGAATATTGATCATTAATCATTAAGAATTGAAAGTTTTATTTTCGTAAAATCTCTTGCATGGATACAGAGGAACAAAAAATCCCTTGTAGGATCCTAAGAAGAGATACGTTCAGGGAGGAGAATATAAAAAGAGAAACAATATGAGGGTGAAAGCTATTTATATGGAACATTGGCCGTGTGATAAGATACAGAGTTTGAAGATGTTTAGGAAAATGAATTCCATTTTTTTACTAAACTTAATAGAAAAAAATTTTAATAATAATAAAAGTAATATATTACTCATATTATTTAATTTCCATGAAACGCGATTCCAGAATTTCGCGATTGCTGTTTTTTTTCAACTAAAATTATATACAATTACGTTACGTACTTAATAATATTTAACGTTGTTTGCAGTGCGATAAATACATTGATTATTTTTATTTAAAGAAATTAGTTTTAGCTAAAATTTATAAAAATTATTTATTATAAAAGAAAAATTCAGTTGATTTTGAAAATATTCGAGCGATTTTAGAAACATACGGTCAGCTTTAAAGGATAGGATCGGCTTTAACGAACTGTAAGGCAAATAATATGCTTAGTAGAGAAAATTTCTAAAAGTAGGATAAGAGGAAATTTTGATTAAGTATTTTTCTCATTAAAAATTACATTGAGAAATGAGATAGTGTAAATATAACAACTTTTTTTTAGAAATTATTATCTTCTTTGTTATAAATAATATGTTATCCAAAGCAATCAATATATATTAATTAAGAAGATACATTACACATACATCTCTATATATGTATATATATATTTTAGGAGAGAGAGAGAGAGAGAGAGAGAGAGAGAGAGAGAGAGAGAGAGAGAGGAGGAGGAGAGAGT